CCCAAGGCGGCTCGCGAGAGCCCCGTCGGCTGCTTCGGCGGCTCCCTCGTCGCCGGCGGCAGCTTCGGGCCGGCTTTCAACGCCTCCCTCATGCTCGACTCCCAGGTGCACGGGAGGCTTTATCACATCGGCATCCCCTTCCTCTCCTGCCTCCCTCTCCACTTCTCCGAGACGGTATTTAATTTCCAGTAGTTCCCCCATAATGATGCTCCCCATCCCCCTCGCCCCCCTGCAGTCTAGTCGCTGCTCCCGGCCCGGGGCAGGATGGGGGGGAGAGACCGGACTCAGACCTCACCAAGCGGGTAAAGACCAAAACATGATGTTAAAGGTGACTCAGGATTTCAGGGCATTTTCAAGGCACGTCTTGCTGCGGAGCTCTCTTTAGCGATTGCCTCCCCTGCCAGATCGACTTTTAAAGGTAAAACGGTTTTCTTTTCACGTCGGTGATGGAGAAGCGGAGACAGGCGGTGGGATTCCCACGCTCGCCTCGGTCCCCCGTCGCGTCTGTTCTGCAGGTTTAGTCTTTGCATCCGTCAGGTTTTCCAGATCTGCTTTCTGCCGAGCCCCTCGCCTCTCCGGTTTTCTTCCTTTTTCTTTAGAAAACCAAACCCGCCCCTTTTATCCTTGGGGGAGGGGGCTGTGTTTTGTCTTGCCATTAATACCCACCGGTGCCTACACACAAATACTTCCTGAGGTGTTGCCTTCCAGTCCTTGGCGTGGGTGAAAGGCAGGTAATCGGAATAAACGGAGCTAAAATAAGGACAGACGAAATAAGGCAGTCTCCTGTGCAGTCATGCTTGCTTTGACTCAGCACCATATATAACTCACGGCGTTAACTCAAGCTGGTTTCCTGCCTGGCTCTTGTACTTCTAGAGTATCACGACAGCGTTTCTGTCTCACTGCTGTGGCTAAGCAGAGAGAAGGGGACAGACAAACACACGTGTCTTGAACGAAGAGAAGCTGCCCGTGTCCATGTCTTGCTGGGATCAGTTACTTCTTACCAAAAAGACTGAACCAGGGCTGTGGAAGCCAATCTTGGCGTTCTGGAGTAGCTGTGTTAACAATCCAGACAACTACTAGGGGGAAAAAAAAAAAGAGAGAGAAAAAAGATATGAACTATTTCTCAAAATTTTATTTTTTCTTAAAGAAGGAAGAATCCAGACACATTATAAGCAACCGGGAATATTTCTTATTTTTGCCATAAATAGAGGCTTTTTATATATTAGTGGATAAATGCCCTTTGGGAAAAAAGATCTATAGTCTCAATTTTCACTATGAAACCCCATCTATATCCAATAAAAGTATTTTGTCCAGTACTGTGGCTGACTCATTCTGAGCTCACCTCCACCTCTGCAGCCGGAGGGTCTGGCAGCGGAGCAGGGCCTTCCCCGGGTTCGCAGGCTGGCGGGTGGCCCTGCAGAAGCGCTACACATATCCTTGAGCCTGCGTGCAGCAGTGAGCTCTGGGGAATTTGAAGTACAAATATCTGGGTAACGGCATGATGCACTGCACTGCCAGAAGAAGGTAAAAGGTGAGAAGCTAAAAATAGGGGCTTGGGAAATTACCCGTTTCTAGTAACTGAGACAACATTTCCTGAAGCACTTCTGTTTCTCCTCCTTCCCCCATCCTTCCATCCCACCCCAACCCACCAGAAAAGCCTGCCCTAAAATAAACACCTTGACTATTGAAAATCTGGGTTTCTCAGGAAAGCTGTGATCCAGCTTTTCCAGAGAAAGGTCAGCACCTCCTCCCTGAAGGTGCTGCCAATCTATCTTGCCATTTAGACTAGGAGTTGAGGGGAAAAGCGTTGCACCACTGGGCAAAGAGCTGTGATGTGGGCAAGTGCAGAAAATCCCTGAAAGGTGGGAAGGAGTGCTGCATTTCCTAAAAGGAAGATGTTCATAGATGGATCCCTAGACAGAGACAGCTACAGCCTTTCACAAAAGTGTGCTGACTCACTCAGTGAAGAAAAAATGAGGGTGGGAGGGTGAGCTTTTTATATAGATTGGCAAGAGGGACTTTAAATAAAATCCCTGCCATATTTTCTATTTGTGCCAATTCGTGTTTAAACACCTCTTAAGTCCATTTTCTAAATCTGTGACACTGAATCAGCAAAAAAAAAAAAAAAGGGCTTGCACAAATGAAGAAACCGCAACCTGGTCAAAGCCACATGTGCCCCCACCATAATTTACAGGGCTGTACAGATGCTGAGAGGGTTAATGCTCCTAGCTTCAAAATCCCTTGTCCCTACAGTGCCACACGTGTAATCAGATAGGTATTATAGCAAGTTAAATAAATGGTCATTTTGTGAGGAGGTTTCGAGCAAAGGCTTGGGGCAGGCATCACAAGTCCTTTAGGAGTCCGGGTGGTAGCATCACTCGTGGAAAGCAGCAGGGTTAGGGAAGGGAAAAGATCCTGCTTAGCTCTTGTCCAGTGGTGAGGGAGACCTCAGGTCACCCCTCCACCCCCAGCTGCTTATATGCAATAGGATTTCAGCTCGTGAGCGAGATGGGGGGTTAATCCTGCCTCCGAGGAAGTGCATGAGGCCAGGTCTCCATCTAGTTCGAGAGCCCATTTCCACGGCTGGCCAGTGTTGCTGGCTTCAGATGGAGAAGCTGCCTCCTTGACCTCAGTTCAGCCTGGCCCACTGAAGGGCTTTGCCCCTGGAAGTGGTTACTTATGCTCTCAATCACGAGGGGTTTATACCTAGAAAAACCTTTTCCCTTGTCTAAAAAAACTCCCCTGAGGTAGCTGTGGATATGCCCAGAAGCCATGGGGAAGTTCCCCCCTTATCACCCGTGGGAGCACGATCCGGCTTCAGCCGCGCCACCCTCACCAGCACGTTGTGTACGTCCAGCACACTGCTAGCGAGCAGCTGCTGCTGCTGCGGGCGAGCGTGTCCTCCCGCGCGCCTGGAGCGCGGGGACAGCCACAGGCCAAAGGAATCCACTGGGAGCTGTCCTGTCACTATTTCACCTGTGTCTTCAGTCTCAGCTGGTTCCCTCTCTCCTGACTTGGCATCCTCACTGTGTCCCCCCGGTTTCAGGACCCCTCAGCTCCCGTCATAGCTCCCAAAATACCTCCTTGCACCTGCAGATGGTTTTTCAGTCCTTTTCTGAAAGCCCAGGAGGAACAGGGAGCAGCCACTGTAACTGCTTCCTCCATCCCATATCCTCCACCTCAAGGGAAAGGAAGAGGTGGTCCTTCCTGCAGCAGTGCAGCTTTTGGGGGTAGATCTTTGCCTTTTGCAGGTGTCCTGCAAAGGTCAAGCTAAGCCACCCCTCTCTCCTCCTGGTGGAAAATTCCCTCTCCTTTCAAACCACCAGTGCCTCAGGGATACTTGGCGGTACAAAGTTTTACAAATTAATATTGCATTGTTTACAGGGTCACTTGTTTTTACTGGTTCAAACCGGCCTGCCTTTCAAATATGTGCCAGGTCTTCTCATTTTTGCACTGTGATGGAAAAGAAAATAATAAAAAGAAATGGCTGAGTAGCTTTTTCATTTTCTTAAGGTCCAGGTCAAAAGTAAACAAATCGTCTGAAGGAAGGAGACTGAAACTGGGCTTTCAGCTTGACTGGTACATGATGTATGTTTTTATCACAGACATGTTTGTTGAGATTTAACTCTCTTTTTAATGAGATGGGAGTTTATTTTCTGCGAGGCTTTGCTTATGGTGACATTTTATTTTATTTCTGTTTTGTTGTAGTGGAATGGGACTCAGCACAGCTGCAGTGTTTAAAAACCGCACTGGGCTTGATTTCAGTTTTATTTGCAAGAGTAAAATTAATAGACTTAGCATGTTCTGCACAAAGGTGAAACAGGCTTGAATGAACTCGGAGTTAAGCAGATAGCTATGAGTGGCAATTTGGAGTGAACTGGGAGCGGGCGATCAGTGTAACTTGCGGAGGACGAATACCGAGAAAAAAGGGTCTTGTTGCCAACACGCAGAATGACTAACCACACACTGCTTTAGCACGTCATCTGTTTACATACAGAACAGCAGAAGTAATGGTACAATAAAAACGATAGCACGCTGGTGCAGAGAAATAAGTGTACGTGTTGATACACCACTACCTGTCATTTCTATCTAACTGCACATCCTTTATTCCTCTACACAGCTACAGCTGCAAATTGTGGTGCGGTGCAATGCTAAACGGGCAGTGTGTCAGATGAACATAAATGACTTGACAAGCTGCAAAAATTGAATGTCAATGGTTTCACACCTGTTCTGTAACCAAAAAAGCAACAGCCGAACACAAAACTGCCACCCACTATTTAACTCATGCCTGGAATCTTCCTCCTGGCTTTCCCAACCTCTCCGGCTTGGCTATAAAAGCAAGTCTGAAATACTGCAAAGAAAAGTAGAAAATAGCCGGTGATGCGGTATAAACAGCACACTCCTTGTGTGGGCGATACATATGCCTTTCTATTCCACTGGAGAGGAATGACCTATCCCAACTGAGCAAGGTGGCACGTCTCTTGAGTTATGCAGCCAATTTTAACTTGGAGGACCGCAGGAGAGCGGGCAGGGGAAGAGGTGTGCACTGGAGCTCTTCGGTTCCCAGAGCTGCTTTCTTCCAAATACAGGTTCGCTACAAGGCAAGCTGCAGTGTATTAAAATAATTCAGGAATTTCTTTTCTCATGAATGGGAGTTCTAATCATTAAACACGCCCTGTGCCTCTTCACCTGAAGTTGGCCCCATAGCATATAAAAAATCAAGTGTTTAATGTGTGTGCAGAAGCTACTGTCAGGGGCTGTCACTCAAAGCGCATGGCTGTCTCTGGGTCTGCTTTCAAGGTGACATAACATTAAGGGACTTTGTAATGGTTTCTTCTTCTTTTTTTTTTTTTTTTTAATAGTTACGTCTCCTTTCATCCTTTACCAAGAAAGGCACATAGTGGAGAGAGCATGGAGAGAGCATCTCTTTTCACACTGAAATCTACTGGCTTTCTGCTAATTGCTCTTAAGCCTGCTGTGAAGAACAGCTGAATCCAGCAAGGAGAGGGGGAGAAGGATCTGCTACATTACTTGATTCATATCCGTGCGCACGCAGAAAACAGGTCCTCTGGGAGACAACATTTTGGACATTAAACAGATCACATATTTGATTTTAAGTGAAAGACCAAGAAGACGAGATCACAGAATTAGAGAAGTTACAGATGGAAAAGGTCTATGAGGTTACGCAATTCATCAGTCTGGACATTGCATAATTGCTCCCTACAGTATATTTTTAGTGCTTTATCCAGACAAATCATTAAGTGCTTTAAAATGGGCCAGATTCCTCAAGCTCAATGCGTGCTAAATCACAGCTGATTTCTCAGAGGCTCGTAGCTTGCAATGTCTAATAAAAGACCAGGAGAAAATTTTGTGTGGTCAAGGAGAACAGAACTGGCTCTTCTGAAAATAAATACTGGTCTGATTCTGTGTTCCTTACAGGACCTTTTCCTAAGTTGTCTGAATTAGCTCTCTTAAATCTCATTTTCAGATTCTACTGAATGATACATTATTACTAATTCAGATGTTCACTTAGTCCAAAGTAAAACATTGTTAATGTTCATGTGAACGCAATTTGTTTTAACTCAGCTTCAAAGCCAGTTCAGTAAAGCGTAAAGAATGTTTATTTAAAATATAGTTGCTAAATTTAGCATGAGCTTGGTTAGCCTAAATCTTAGCGACATTTTTAGAGAGCACATTGCAAATCAGGAATGCATGGAGAAATAAATAAACTTTCCCACATTTTTGGAAATCAAATAAGAATTTGCAAGTTATTTCTTGCACGGGCAATTTCTGGGGATTGGAAAGCATTACGAATAATGCAAATTCCCCACCAAATAGACATTTTGAAAGACAATACTAATAATTTTCATTGTAATTTCATTTTAAATAATATTCCCTCCAGGACAAAAAGACACTAAGAGCAGACAACCATTGCCATAAAAATTACGCAGAGTGTTAGCGCGGTTCACTATTTACACATGCTCTTTGCAAAGCCCTGAAAAGCACAACGGAGCTGCGGCTGGCTACAAGCCACATTCAAACTGCGCAAAGGAAATCTTGCATTTGAATTAGGTCCTGTGCTATTCCTGGTAATCGTGAGACTGGACCTTATGCCCACCCCTTGCGTGCCGGTCGCTGAAGTGCTCTCGCTGGCTTGAAGGCTGGCGTGCCCGGAGTACGCCCGGGGGCCAGCTCTTTCCCCCGTCGGTCCATG